CAAAATTGGACCACTGGATGCCGAGATATTTACAAAAAACGATTTTTTGAGCCCTGAAAAATGGGCCAATCTGCCGAAAGTGTGACTTATGACCTGTTTTGGAGATATCCGGGGTCCTGTTAATATTGTATTATTTGTTTACTTTAGCATTTTTACTATCTAATAAAAATTCCAGAAACATTTAATATATTAAAGTTTGAAATATCTTTAAATAAAGCAGATGAAGTTGTTAAATAATTTGAAGAAAACTATATGTATAAAAAAATATGTCAATATTTTAAAAATGGTAGTACCATTTGTGAAATTCCTTTATTTTCTCTAGAGTTGTAATTAATATATATATAATTCAATTGAAATAGAAATTCTGTAAACATAAAATATAATAAAAACCTGGCATAGGTATTAGAATATTTTAGTTAGTGAAAGTTATATTAGTATTTATATAATAATTGAGAAGTTATAAATAGAATAACAGAATATTAAATTTCAAATTAAATGTATTATTCATATGAAAAAACTATTAATGAAAAAAATAAAAAAAAGAATAATAACAAATTATTGATGATAGAAAAAGCTATTTATTGATAATGGATTTTCTTCACAAAATCGTATATAACCTTTCATTGTAATTTTCTTACTAATGATTTAGATTTGAATATTAATTATTTTTATAATTTTATATTACTTTAATATTGCAAATTAATTTTATATATAATAAAGTTTATAATAATATATTTTATAAAATTAAATATATAGTGTTAGCATTTTTACTAAAATAAATAACAAAATTTTGCAAATTGATATGAAAATAGTTTTGTAAAAAAAAAATTTCAGGATTTTGATAGTTGGGATTATGTAGCTAATTATGTGTTCAGGATTTCGTATCCTTAAATTTAATATATAATTGATTTTTTACAGATTAATATTTAAATAAATAGTATTTATTTATTAAATGTTAAATATTTAGTTTTATTTATATTATATATTAATATATACAATTATTTTTAATAATTGTAAAGGGTTGATCACCCTTGGCTTATTGGTTAGTCCGTGAGTCCCCTCGTGAAGCCTGAGTATGGTGAGGTCACAGGTTCGATTCTGCCGATCACAAAAATTAAAAGAATTTTACTGCAGATACTACTACCAATAGTGTAGAGGTACAGGGATTAGTGTAGGCTGGACTGCATCATGGTGAATTAGTATGTACCGGTCAGCGGCATATTTCAACAAAGAATCATGGTATTCTCCTAGCATTCCCTATGAGGCCATTGGAAGCCTATTGTCCTGTCTGGATGGTCACTGCTTGCATACCATCTGGGTGAGCTCTTGTCTTGGTGGTCACTCTACGATATCACTAAGGGTGTGGTAAACTTTACTGTGGGGGTTTACTACGCTAGATGGTCCTCATAGATGGTAAAGTCTCAAGTGCAATATCTTAGCAGTAGTTTACCTTTTAATAGGTTTAGGCTGATTGGAGACGTTCGTAGGCTCACAGGTATATAAGGTTCTAAGGTGAGGTTCGATTCTTCAGTGAATTTGACGTACTGGTGAATGATCCCTGGGTAACTGGATTGGTTACTTATAATAAAGGGGTGATCCCAGAACCCTTAGCAGCTTACTGTCCTGGTAGTCACTACTATACTACCAGGGGATTTACAACTATAATGGACTGGTATCGTGGCCTGTAGTAGGCTATGAGTGAAGCCATATTAGTAGTCTTAGTATTGCAGTACCTCTAAGCTAACCATCATGGAAGGACTTTTAGATGTCTGTTCCGTTATATCTGCCATACGTGGGTGGTTGCTCACTTCTGACAGGCGTTAGTGGGTAGCATAACTGTGTCAGAAACCCTGCTACACTACGATCCATCTGTTGTGTGTATAAACTTGGGTCATCTTCCCAGTGTGGTATATAGGGGGTAGGGGGGATGAACATCCGGTTACTTCTAAATAATTAGAGTAGGTTGCTTGGTTATCTGTCGCTCAACGGTAGGAGTGCATTACCGCAACTAGTGTTGTAATGCTCC